AGTGTACTTCCATTGTCAGACACTGCAAGGCACCAGGAGGACATCAACCAATATCTTTCATGGGCGAGCAGAAAACACTATGAAGTTCAACGATGGAAATTTCAGTTACTCAGATATGTAAACACGAGGAAATTAAATCTTCATCGAGTACACACAAATTCTGCCATAAAGGGGGGTAAACAAAATAGAGCGAAACAAACCAACCGTCAAAGACCTGGGAGTGATCATGTTGGAGGATCTCACCTTCAAGAACCATAATATAGTATCAATCGCATCTGCTAGAAAAATGACATGATGATAATTGAGAACCTTCAAAACAGGGTGCCAACCCATGATGACACTCTACTCATTCAGGTCACTTGTTCTATCAAGGCTGGAATTTATTGCTGCACACTAAACAGCACCTTTCAAGGCAGGTGAAATTTATGACCTAGAAAATTTAGCAGAGAGAACCTTCACGGCGCGCATAACGGGAGATAAAACAACCTCACTTACTGGTGAGCGCTTGAGTTCTTGAAATCCTGTTGATTCCCTGGAATGCAGTGGGAGAGAACATGATTAAATACACCTGAAAATCCAGAGGGACTAGTTCCGAATTGCACACGAAAATCACTCAGTAACGAAAACAAAAGACTGGCGAGACGATGCACATTCCCCCCAATGAACGCAGGGTGTCACTAGCACTAAAGATACCAAACAATAAGTGGCAGGGGCCCGAAACTGTTCAAACTGCCTCCCGCATACATAAGAGGGATTACCAACAGAACCCCTGGACATTCTTCATGTTGGCGCTGGACAACACCTGATGTCGGTTTTCCAGACCACCGGGCGTGGCTCGTACGTTGGTTTTGTTGCGTGCAGGCAGCAGTAAACAGCCTTTGATCACTCTGATCCACCAGGAAGGCCTGGTCAAGACCGGGCCGCGGGGCGTTGACCCCCGAACTCTCTCCAGGTAAACCCCATGTAATTGCCTTGAAAATGAGGATGCAGTAGGCAGTAGAGATGTTTAAGAACACGTGTAGAGAGAATATTATGCAAACTTTGCAAGAGCGTTAAAATTAGAAGAGGTAGGCATTAATTTAAGGATATAATTCATAGGTGGAGGATGGAACGTTGAGGTTGATTGGGGCATTAAGAGAGTATGGGTGTAAAGTGAGGATAACCAAAAAGGGTGTATAAATCAAATTCGAAAGGAAGGATGGCATACTGTTGGAGCCATCAGACACCAGATACCTTTATAAAGGGATTCAGAAGAACCAGGGCAGCTGGAATTTTCCCTTAGAGATGAAGAAATGGTGCCGTCAATCTGAAGGGGGGGGATATTGCTGTTTAGAGGGTGCATTACCAATGTGATTGTCCTGCAGTGTCTAGCAAATCCAGTTAATAAATAAATACCGACTATGTCCTTTTATGGGTCCATCATGTGACCCACAAAAAATAATATACTATTCTATCTACTATCCAAATAGTTTTTTTTTCATTTGATTAAACATGTTAATAAACTTTCAGGGCCACAATAGCAATGACTACTTTCACTAATAGACAGGATCAATACTTTGTCTTAGATGTCTGTCCTGAACTTGCAAAAAAAGACTTCTAATCTCAAGATCATGATACAGTCAGTAATTTCTCCCTACACGCTTTCAGACACGATAATACACTACTGTTTCTTCCAGACACAACATGTTAAACGTAATAAGTATAATATATGTAAATTATTGTTTAATACTATGATGTGCATTTGCTTAATAAAATTTCACACCGAAATAGAAACACAGGAAAATTTCTTGATCTGATGTATTCGACTTCTCCGTTGGGGTCCTCTTCAGTACTTGTATTTTTTATTTTATTCTATTATCACACTGGCCGATCCCACCAAGGCCGGGTGGGCCCGAAAAAGAAAAAACTTTCACCATCATTCACTCCATCACTGTCTTGCCAGTGCTTACACTACAGTTTTAAAACTGCAACTTAACACCCCATCCTTCAGAGTGCAGGCACTGTTACTTCCATCTCAGGACGCAAGTCCGGCCTGCCGGTTTCCCTGACCCCTTCATAAGTGATTTACTTTGCTCACCACTCCAACAGCACTCAAGTAATTAAAAACCATTTGTCTCCATTCACCTCCCTATCAAACACGCTCACGCATGGCCTGCGGGAAGTCCCAAGCCCCTCGCACACAAAACCTCCTTTACCCCCCTCCTCCACACCTTTCCTAGGCCGACGCCCTACCCCGCCCTTCCCCTTCCACTACGGACTGATACACTCTAAATCCATTCTGTTTCGCTCCATTCTCTCCACATGACCAAACCACCTCAACAACCCTTCCTCAGCCATCTGGACAACAGTTTTGGTAATCCCGCACCTCCTCCTAACTTCCAAACTACGAATTCTCTGCATTATATTCACACCACACATTGCCCTCAGACATGACATCTCCACTGCCTCCAGCCTTCTCCTCGCTGCAACATTCATCACCCATGCTTCACACCCATATAAGAGCGTTGGTAAAACTATACTCTCATACATTCCCCTCTTTGCCTCCAAGGACAAAGTTCTTTGTCTCCACAGACTCCTAAGTGCACCACTCACCCTTTTCCCCTCATCAATTCTATGATTCACCTCATCTTTCATAGACCCATCCGCTGACACGTCCACTCCCAAATATCTGAATACATTCACCTCCTCCATACTCTCTCCCTCCAATCTGATATCCAATCTTTCATCACCTAATCTTTTTGTTATCCTCAAAACCTTACTCTTTCCTGTATTCACTTTTAATTTTCTTCTGCACACCCTACCAAATTCATCCACCAATCTCTGCAACTTCTCTTCAGAATCTCCCAAGAGCACAGTGTCATCAGCAAAGAGCAACTGTGACAACTCCCACTTTGTGTGTGATTCTTTATCTTTTAACTCCACGCCTCTTGCCAAGACCCTGGCATTTACTTCTCTTACAACCCCATCTATAAATATATTAAACAACCACGGTGACATCACACATCCTTGTCTAAGGCCTACTTTTACTGGGAAATAATTTACCTCTTTCCTACATACTCTAACTTGAGCCTCACTATCCTCGTAAAAACTCTTCACTGCTTTCAGTAACCTACCTCCTACACCATACACCTGCAACATATGCCACATTGCCCCCTATCCACCCTGTCATATGCCTTTTCCAAATCCATAAATGCCACAAAGACCTCTTTAGCCTTATCTAAATACTGTTCACTTATATGTTTCACTGTAAACACCTGGTCCACACACCCCCTACCTTTCCTAAAGCCTCCTTGTTCATCTGCTATCCTATTCTCCGTCTTACTCTTAATTCTTTCAATAATAACTCTACCATACACTTTACCAGGTATACTCAACAGACTTATCCCCCTATAATTTTTGCACTCTCTTTTATCCCCTTTGCCTTTATACAAAGGAACTATGCATGCTCTGCCAATCCCTAGGTACCTTACCCTCTTCCATACATTTATTAAATAATTGCACCAACCACTCCAAAACTATATCCCCACCGTTTTTAACATTTCACTTTATCCCCTAAATCCCGGCTCCTTAACCCCCTTTCATTTTACCAACTGCCTCACAACTTCCCCCACACTCCAACTGGCTCTTCCCACTCCTACAAATGTTTTTTCCTCCTTGCCCTATACATGAATTCACACTTCCCTACTTAACAACTTTTAAAACAATTCCTCAAAATATTCCTCCATCTTCCCATACCTCAAACTCCCCCATTTAATAACTCTCCTCTCCTATTTTAACTGACAAAACCTTTGTTCCTAGGCTTTCTTAACTTTTAAACTCATCTCCAAAACTTTTTTTTTATTTTCAACAAAATTTGTTGATAACATCTCACCCACTCTCTCATTTGCTCTCTTTTTACATTGCTTCACCACTCTCTTAATATGTATACATATAAAGAGAACCCCAGCAAGGGGTCAAGATATGCAAATTGATTAATTTTCTGAGTTTTGTCTCCATATCTACCTGGAGGGTGTTCCGGGGGTCAGTGCCCAAGCACCTGATGTGGATACCGAAACCGTGGATGGTAGCAAACCTGTACTTATTATAAAGTCTAATTGATAAATTATGCACAATAAGCGGAGAATTATCACTTTTTTACTGATGGGAAGCACTTCACGGCTTCTCTTGGGCTTTGAAGAATTTCCACCATCACTACTTTTGCACTGTGAGGCCATTATTAAGTAAAATTAAGGGTTATTTTTGGGCCACAGTAAACAGCAGATAACCAAAACCATGGATACTGGAGCTACGGATACAGGGGTTCTACTGTATATGTTTATATATAAAGGCAGTATATTTTGGTTAGGTAGGTGATCTGTAATAGGTGTAAATTAACATTAATGGTATTGATAAAAATAATGTGCAAATGCACGAGGAATATTTGTACAAGGAAACCTCTGTAAATTCAAAGTGGTTGCATGGAGGATTTTTTTTTTAATGGCCCATCTGAATAGTGGGAGAAAATCTATTGAAAATGAAGAAACTGTAAATGTTGCATGTTATTCATTTTTTATATTACCTTTGCATTTTTCAGAATGTTTATAATACAGCACATACTGCTTGACTGCACTTTTAATTGTGATTATAATAAATGCTGTTTAACTGTATGTACTTTTGAAATAATATTGGTAGAATTACCAATAATATGTTAGGTAAAAGGACACATGTGCAGCTAATGTGATGTTTTTATTGTGGCAACATTTCACTCTCCAGGAACTTTGTCAAACTGTTATGACAAAAATCCTGGCGGGCAAAACTTGGCCACAGTAAAAATGTCGCACACGTTACACAGGACCTTTTACCTAACAGACTGTACTTTTAATGGTGATTATAATCAGTGGTGTTTGCACTTTTCAGGGTGATTATAATAAATATTGTATGACCATGAAAACTGCCATACAGAAAGTGTGGGATCAAGAGTGTGGCAAAACTACACAAAAATGTCAAAAAATCTTGAAAAGCCCCTAGACACTATAGTAATCCCAACTTTACAAATGGGACCTTTTGATATTGTGAGCGATAACACAATGACCAAAAAGTTCTTGACTTCAGCCGAGAGTAATTCAAGAATTCAGTTAACATCAGACTACTTCAACTTAACAGAAGAATGCATGAAAAGTATTCTTCAGGGGACTGAAGCTTTTTATAGTATTCTCATGGCTCATCCCAAAGTAAGATGTGTTTTAATAATTCTTTTTTACATTGCATTTTTTGTATCTTGATGAAACGCTATTTGATAGTTGTGAAGAAAAGATATATTTGCAGAAAATAACTTTGTAACTTCTGGATGACTTCATAAAAATTTTAACAGCTCTAAATGATGTCCCAATAAAACCTGGTTCAGCAAATATGTCTTGTCTTCACACAGTAAATGAAGATAGACAGGTTTTGCATGTGTCTTATTTATCATGATGGTATTGTGAGCCATTAAGATAGTGATTGTGAGCCATTAAGATAGTGATTGTGAACCATTAAGATAGTGATGGTTTTTTTAACAACTCTTGGCAGTATGCCTTTTGGATTCTTTTAAAAGATCAACCATTATTTGTGTATTTGTATATTAAACTTAATTTTTCATGTTTACATTGAAAAAAATAAAACTGCTGGTTCCTTGTTCATTGTGAAAAATTACTGCATGTGCTTATAAAAATTGCTTATATTAAGTAATGTACCTTTTATTCCATATCTCTTCAGTAATATGGATTAAATATAATTTTAGTATAGTCAGTATATATACATTTAATATGGAATTATATAGTGAAGTATCCTGCAAGTCTTGACAAATATAAATAATGTGTCAAATATTCAAGAATCCTTTATTGAATATTCCAAGTTTTCTGCATAGAAAAATGGCTAAGCAGAAAAATAGCTTATGTGGAATTATATGAAGTAGAAATATTAACAGAGTAAAGAATAAAGGTAGTAGGTTGGTAGACAGCAACCACCCAGGGAAGTACTACCGTCCTGCCAAATGACTGTGAAACAAAAACCTGTAACTGTTTTGCATGATGGTAGGATTGCTGGTTTCTTTTTCTGTTTCATAAACACGCTAGATAACAGGGATATCTTGCTTCTCCTACTTACACTTTGGTCACACTTCACAGACACGCACATGCATATATATATATATATACATACATCTAGGTTTTTCTCCTTTTTCTAAATAGCTCTTGTTCTTTTTTATTTTCTATTGTCCAGGGGGAAGTGGAAAAGAATTTTTCCTCCGTAAGCCATGCGTGTCGTATGAGGCGACAAAAAAATCCCGGGGAGCAATGGGCTAGTAACCCCTTCTCCTGTATACATTACTAAAAAGAGAAGAAAGAAAAACTTTATAAAACTGGGATGCTTAAATGTGCGTGGGTGTAGTGCGGATGACAAGAAAAAGATGATTGCTGATGTTATAATGAAAAGAAGTTGGATGTCCCGGCTCTAAGCGAAACAAAGCTGAAGGGGGGTAGGGGAGTTTCAGTGGGGGGAAATAAATGGGATTAAATCTGGAGTATCTGAGAGAGTTTTGAGCAAAGGAAGGGGTAGCAGTAATGTTAAATGATCAGTTATGGAAGGAGAAAAGAGAATATGAATGTGTAAATTTAAGAATTATGTGGATTAAAGTAAAGGTTGGATGCGAGAAGTGGGTCATAATAAGCGTGTATGCACCTGGGGGAAGAGAGGAATGCAGAGGAGAGAGAGAGATTTTGGGAGATTTTTAAGTGAATGTATAGGAGCCTTTGAACCAAGTGAGAGAGTAATTGTGGGAGGGGGCCTGAATTTCTAAAGTAGGAGAAGTGAACAGTATTTAGATAAGGCTAAAAAAGGTTTTTTGTGGGATTTATGGATTTGGAAAAGGCGTATGACAGGGTGGATAGGGGGGCAATGTGGCAGATGTTGCAAGTGTAAAGGTGTAGGAGGTAGTTACGAAAGCAGTGAAGAGTTTTTACGAGGATAGTGAGGCTCAAGTTAGAGTATGTAGGAAAGAGGGAAATTTTTTCCCAGTAAAAGTAGGCCTTAGACAAGGATGTGTGATGTCACCGTGGTTGTTTAATATATTTATAGATGGGGTTGTAAGAGAAGTAAATGCGAGGGTTTTGGGCAAGAGGCGTGGAGTTAAAGAATCACACACAAAGTGGGAGTTGTCCAGCTGCTCTTTGCTGAGACACTGTGCTCTTGGAGATTCTGAAGAGAAGCTGCAGAGATTGGTGGATGAATTTGGTAGGGTGTGGCAAAAGAAGAAAATAAAAGGTGAATACAGGAAAGAGTAAGGTTATGGGGATAAAAAAAAGATTAGGTGATGAAAGATTAAATTATCAGATTGGAGGGAAGAGTTATGGAGGAGGTGAACGTATTCAGATATTTGGGAGGGGCCCGTGTCAGCGGATGGGTCCTATGAAAGATGAGGTGATCATAGAAATGATGGGGGAAAAAGAGTGAGTGGTGCATTTTAGGAGTCTGTGGAGACAAAGAACTTTGTCCCTTGGAGGCAAAGAGGGAATGAATGAGAGTATAGTTTTACCAACGCTCTTATATGGGTGTGAACATGGGTGATGAATGTTGCAGCGAGGAAAAAGGCTGGAGGCAGTGGAGAAGTCATGTCTGAGGCAATGTGTGGTGTGAATATAATGCAGAGAATTCGTAGTTTGGAAGTTAGGAGGAGGTGCGGGAATTACCAAAACTGTTGTCCAGAGGGCTGAGGAAGGGGTTTGTTGAGGGGGTTTCGGACATGTAGAGAGAATGGGCGAAACAGAATGACTTCAAGAGTGTATCAGTCTGTAGTGGAAGGAAGGCGGGGTAGGGGTCGGCCTAGGAAGGGTTGGAGGGAGGGGGTAAAGGAGGTTTTGTGTGCGAGGGGCTTGACTTCCAGCAGGCATGCGTGAGCGTGTTTGATAGGAAGTGAATGGAGACAAATGGTTTTTAATACTTGACGTGCTGTTGGAGTGTGAACAAAGTAACATTTATGAAGGGATTCAGGAAACCGGCAGGCCGGACTTGAGTCCTGGAGATGGGGAATACAGTACCTGCACCCCTGAAGGAGGGGCGTTAATGTTGCAGTTTAAAAACTGTAAATGGGAAAGCACCCTTCTGGCAAGACAGTGAGGGGTGAATGATGGTGAAAGTTTTTCTTTTTCGGGCCACCCTGCCTTGGTGGGAATCGGCCAGTGTGATAATAAAAAAAAAAAAAAAGAATTATATATAAATTTGTATAGAGGGAGTTCAGAACCCTTAAAATATTTTAAATGGATAAAACCCAGTGAAACTGTATAAACATATAGAAACCTTTGAAAATGCACCCAAAGGGGAAAAAAATGGACATTTGTGCTTTTTCACTGCTTTCAGTTAGAAAGAGGACGTTTGGGTAAATAAAAAGAATTTCATTTGACAGAATTTATGGCTACACTTTTCCACATGACAAAGCATTTATGGCGGGACATTTCCATATACAGGAAAGGCCCCGCTTTACGCTTTCACTTTACGTTTTTTCCCTAATACGGTCATTTAAAATTTAGCCCAAAAAACTCGCTAAAAAAGGGCCCCCCCCACCTGATTTTCTAATCGGTCCCGCGCCCCCCCTTTGTTTTTTTTACATCTTCGGAGCTCAGTAAGCACTAGTCCCCCTCCATTTTGTCTGGAAACTCCAAAATTTAAAATTTTTTTTAAATTTTTTCATATTTTATATATACTCTGATAATTATACTTATGAACCTGTATTTAAAATAAACTTGCATACTGTGCTGGCATGAGGTACACACAAAATCATAAAGTGCTTATGTCTCCGACGTCATATTAGTAATGATAATAATAACACGAGTCTCATTTAATGTCGTATATTACTTAAAATACACTTTTTCATTATCCCCATCTATGATTTTTTTTTTCAAAATTAAATAATAAACACGATACATAACAAAAAAAAGATGTTAAATACCCCCCACAATAGAATAAAAAAAACAAAATATGAGATGGGGTACAAACGCTTGCAAAAGTGACGCCTATTAGAAATGCTAATAATAATAAAATAATCACCGAGTCTTTTTAAATTTTTTATTTTACGTTAATATACACATTTTCTTTAATCCACCATGTTTTTTTTCAAAATTATATAATAAAAAAATACATAACATAAAAAAATGAAAATCACCCTACAATAAAATAAATAAACAAAAATATAGTTTGTCGTAGGCAGATAACTTTTAAAAATATGCCCAAAATAACTTTTTTTCTAAACTAACAAAGAGAAAAAGTGTTAAATGGGGTAACTTAAAAAAATTTCCTTTCGTATGTATGTAAGTAAGTTTATTTTAGGAAACACAAATACAGTTTCATAGATTATCATCATAACAAAATTGTGTAGAGAACCTAGGAAACCCAAAAAAGTCAGAGGACTTATTTTCCCTTCCTTCACCAAAGCATCATTTCTTCTCAAAATGAGTTTCATGAGAAAAGGGAGTGTTCTTCTTTATTTAAACCTATCTTAGAACAACCGTACAAATGTAACTTGTACACAAAACAGACGTGTACACTTCGTTTACAAAACTTTCCTTTGCCTGGTTTGTTTACATAACTCGGGCGCCTGTCCTCTCTCATGCACTCATTCTTTCTCTCTCTCATTTATTCGTTTTATCTCATTTACTTACTCCTGACCCTACATTAAGACTACAAATATTTTAAGGTAAGTAATGAGTGAACTGTATATACATTTTATCGCTCTGGGATGCTTAAATATCATGGAATATATGTGTGGGTGGGTTGGCCTGGTATGGTAGCCTGGCTGACTACCATACATACCGCACTTGATTTTTTACAATAAATACTACTCATCTCACCCTATATTTTAAGGTAAGTAATGAGTGAACTGTATATACATTTTATCGCTCTGGGATGCTTAAATATCATAGAATTGTATGTGTGGGTGGGGTGGCCCGGTATGGTAGCCTGGCTGACTACCATACATACCACACTTGATTTCTTACAATAAATACTACTTGTCTCACCCTAGATTAAGACTATAAATATTTTAAGGTAAGTAATGAGTGCACTATGTGTGTATTGTACTTTTTATTGTTTTTTGATGCCTGGTTCTATTGCTAACTTAATATATGTTAGTGTAAACTTGTTATCTAGTGTTTGTATGCATTTGTAATTGGAAAAAAAGGGTGTTCCACTTTACGGCGGTTTCCGCTTTACGGCGGTAGCCTGGAACCTAACCAGTCATATAAGTGGGGCCTTCCTGTAATTCATTTGACAGCTAATAAATTTTTTAACATGTCGCCCATCTTCCACCATGGCAGGGTGACCTGAAAAAGAAGAGAGACATTCATAGAGTTTTTCTTCTTTATACATTTAGTAATAATAATATATTTCATGATATTTTACTGTCTTATCAGGCTAATGGATTCCTTGGGGCCAGTGGATTTGCTGGAGCCATCCCGGCTGCTTACACACAACTTGTAAAGTTGTTCTTCGAGACGTTACAGAAAGGAAGGCAGAGTAAACGCATCACCATGTTCGAGTATCAGCGACCAAGTTGGGCATTCCATGCCAAAGGACTATGGTATTACCAACCTTATCAGTCCGTGCCTTTGCTCACTATGATTGGCTCCCCAAACTTTGGTAAGTGTCAATATTTTGACACTTGAGAGGTAGGACTGCATGTCAAGACAGAAATACAGAACAGAGGTTGTCTGTAGGTTACAGTCTCCAGTTGAAGTCTTTAGTGGATCTGAAGACAACCCTCATTGTGGCGACCCAAAGCTTTACCCTCCAGAGAGCACTGCATCAAGAGCAAGAGCATTTATATGGCAGTTCAAGTCGGGTAACTCAACAAACCTTCACTACTCAAGACCGGCTGGTTCCTTACTGGGTGCGCTTTGTAATGCCTGTAATTAAAGTCTTTTTCTAACGATTCATCAGCTGTGTTATAAAGTTTTTAATGTACATATATTGTTTGCACTTAAGATAGAATTTTTATATTAAGAATTCTCTTAAATTTGTATTTATTTATTTATTTATCTGAACATGATACAGAGAAGTACAAAGGAATACAGTTAAGTGCAACATGCCAAAGCCCCTTGTATGCAGAGCATTATGGGCAGGCTTAAAATTAACTTAAGATTAATTAAGCAATGATGTATTCAGTGGTAAAACATTATTGTAAACAGATAACAATTAAGCACAAATGAGTATTACTAAGACAGGTCATATGGTCATTTTCTGTGTTACTGAGCATTCAGTAGAATGGAGTATTCTGTTAGGTAATGTAGTTAAAAAAAAACACAGTTTAATTGGGTCTCAGGTTAAACATACATGTATATGTGATACAATTATGAGAAAGATTTAAGATGTACAATTTATAAGATACAATTATTCAGTATTTATTTGGTTGTGGGTGAGTAAGTGATTTTTGAGAAGAAACTTGAATTTATAAACAGACAGTGTTTCTTTTATATTTACAGGTAATGAATTCCAGATTTTAGGGCCTTTTATGTGCATTAAGTTTTTGCATAGTGTGAGATGGACACGAGGAACATCAAAGAGTGATCTGTGCCTTGTGTTATGGTCATGTGTTCTGTTGAGGTTGGTAAGGAGATGTTTGAGGGGAGGGTTTATATCAGTGTTAAGTGTTCTATGTATGTAATAGGTGCAGTAATAAGTATGGATGTTTTGTATGGTGAGTAGGTTAAGTGTTTTGAATATTGGTGGAGTGTGCTGTCTGTAGTGGGAATTTGTTATCATTCTGACTGCAACCTTTTGTTGGGTAATTAATGGTCTGAGATGGTTTATTGTTGTTGAGCCCCATGCATAAATTCCATAGGTGAGATAGGGGTAAATAAGAGAGTGATATAAGGCCAGGAGGGCTGACTGTGGAACATAGTACTGTATCTTCGATAGTATATCTATGGTCTTGGAAATTTTCTTGGAAATTTGTTGTACATGTGTGTAGTGATACTGCTCCTGTGGGGAGCAGCAGCAGGATAATACTGCACCACCTCTCGGGGCCCTTAACAACAACAACAGTTTGGTGTGTGTCATGGGTGCCAACACATGGTGTGTGATTCTCTTCTCTTCTATCCATATATTAGTGATGCAGATTACATGGTGAGTTTAAATATGTGGCCTGTAGTTATAACTTTTCTCTTGACATATGCAAGACATCACCATCCCTGTGGAAGCCGTTATTAGATGTACTAGTCATTATATTTTGTTGTTGCAGAAGTACTATGAAGATTCTATGTTCAATAAAGCCTAGAGATAAGGCCTGTGTTTTCTATCACAACAATTTATTGAACATAGAATCCTGGGCTACCTGGTGGTGATTCTGCGCTAGACTACATCACAAATGGGGCGTATACTGAACTGAGAGCTAACTGTGACCCCAGCTTGCAACGCTGTCAGGGAAAGGGAAACACTGTTTTAAAACTTTAGAAAACTTCTTGGGGCCCTTCCTAAAAAAAG